GTTATCATTGGATTCGACGTACGCGTGTCAGTTGGATACAAAGTCTAAGACGTTAAGAAGACGAAGCAATAAGTATTATATACTAAACTTAACTAACATGCATTTGTCCGTCCATCTGCCGCAGAAGGAAGTCTGCGACTGATTCTGGGCAGACTTTCCTCCCTATAACAATGCTGACCCGTCACGACAACGAGCCCTTGGCTTAGTAGTTAGGGTTTTGCATTTCTAATCGAAAGGTCGCGAGTTCGAGCCTCAGGGATTGTAAAACCCGGGGTTGGGTATGACTCGCTGCTGACGGCTAGCAAATCAGAATTGGCAATTCCAGGCTTCCTTATCTTTGTCGATTGCGTTATTCTGCCTGTATCAGTAGTCACTGTGTAGCGGCTCGTAGAGCTCGAGAGGGAGCCCCAACAGACAACGGTATGAGGAGTTTGTTCCCTGGCGCAATCTGTGAGTGCGCCACTACTAGGGGCTCGCTTGTTTATGTGATCTTTATTGCAACTTTTAGCACTGAGGGATCCTTCTTTCCAAACTGCGGATCACAGTAAGCAAAATTTCACATGTGTATGGCACTTGTGTAGATTTATTTATACTAGGTTGACTACCCTGTCAGTTTCCGCTTGCAGTCATTTTTACCTTAAGTCACTTGTTGAGCTCAAAATCTGTGGGATATCAGAATGGCGTAGTTCCCGTTAAGGTTTTTTTGCTATTATCCAAATTGGCCTGCAGACAGAACGGTTTCTGCAGGCCATGATGATCGCCGAAGAGTAAAATTAGTAAACTGTCTGATGGACTGCCTAGTTTGTCTGAGGCACATCTTAGTTACCCACACAAATTGTGGTTTTTGAAATGGCAGCTAGCTTATTTTGGGATAGTGTTCATTAGGGTTATTCAAGCTATCGTTGATCCATAATGCTAGTTTTACTTTGAACAAGAGTTTTTCGAAGGAAATCTCACTCCTTTCTCCAGACAGGATATAATTTGTCAAGCGTGTATGGGAGATCATCACAGTCTTACCTCCCTCTCTGTTTGTCATGCAGTCATATAAGTTTCTGCGCTTGCTGAATCTACAGGCGGACATTCGTAACAGAATCTGGGAAACATAGCGGCAAGAAATTGAAGATCTCTTTCTCTTTTTTCCCAGCATTTTGGGTTGCTGAACTGCTGCAGACTTTTTGGTGATTTTAGCCCCTGTCTCGCTCTTTCAGTCTGATCCACCTAGTCCAGTTAGCAACAGGAGAATATAGCCAAACGTAATAAGGAAGAACTACAAATGTTAGTATATTGCTGTATACTCTGTCATATAAAGCAATCGGTAAAGAAATTGAATATTTTGCCGTTGAGATAGCTAACAGAGACTCCTCTCTTCTAGCGAATGAGTCAATGTCGTGAGAAACTTAGTCATACTGCTTTATACTGACTAAGTTGTGTGCGTTGCCATTTAAACGTCATATGTGTCGCAACTAAATTTCACTGAGATATCCTTTTCTTGGCTAGCTCCTACCATTTTTCACGACAAACAGAGAAACGTTGGTATCTGAATTTGTGGTCTGACGCTTCACCTTCAGGCCTTATAGTACACTTGCGTCGCCCGCGTGGTAGAGTGCTTCACTTACCTACGTGCTCCATTGTGCTTGCTGCCTGAATATATGCCTGAGGCCGACTGCGGATGAGTCAGGACGGATCTATGTGTCACTCAAAGTCTCGTGCGCTGCCATTGCTGACGACCTCGAGTTTGTGCTCCATTAGGCTCGATTTATTGTCAGGTAGTGGCAGCTTCCTGCAGCTATTGGCGTAGCGGTAGTTGGACAATCACACTACTTGATGGTTCACCTGTCACGCGCGACGAGGTCCACAGTGTGGCCCACGAGGTGACGTTAGCAGGAACGTGAGAGTGATTTTTTTACTTTGTGAGAGGCTGCCCGCGTCGACATCACTCTCTACTCCTTCATGCGCTGTGTTTAAACTGGCAAGACAACGTCAAGATGACTGAGGGCGTGCGTGGGTGGGTGTAGTGGGTGCCAAGGCTAAACAGACAGCCTACGCATGTCGCGCACGACTTGGTTCCTAATTCAAATGCGTCAGGCTCCATCAGATTACGGGATTAACTATGCGTAATACGACGCGCAGCCTTACGTATACGTCCTGTGCGTTGATTGGCTTCTTGTTCGAGCAGCGTTTCCCTGTGTTTCTATGTCATCTTTAGTATTTTTTATTGTAGATCGGCTTTATTTTTAGATAATTTCCTTTTACTATTGCGTACTTTATTGTTTAGCTTTTAGTGTTGAAAAATTGTAGTTTTTCTATCATTTTAGATGGATTTATGTTCTCGTTATTCGTTTATTTACCGATTTTGCTTGAGCTTCCCTAATAGCAATGTTCTAGTACCAAAGGATAGAATGGTCCCAGGTCGGACCAAATGATAAAGGCGAACAGGCCCCTACATCCTTTGGTACTAGTGCGGCGTGATTGCGTATATGGGCGGTATTCCGCG